CAACGGCATCACCGGACAGATGAAAGTCAGTAACAAGGCAAATAATGCTGGACCCTGTTATGCACATTATATATTACAGTGTACTAATCTTTGTGAGACTTGAACGGACCGGTTATCCCTCTGCAAGATTGTTTTAAATTGTTGTGTATATCTATTATGTGTTAAATTCCATGGATTGCATAAAGAATGAAAATAAAGTTTCAAGATTTTATAACTGTGGGTAAAAATACTCGGGTTGCTGCTCAATTTGAGCATTAATGATTGTACCGGTGCATGTTTTCGTCTGTTTGAAAAGGGTGGGGTGCTCCTACGTTAATTTGACTCAAGTTTTACTCAATTGCTTTGTATTGTATATAGGTACTCATCAAATTTTCTAGAGATCAATTAAATAATAAAAAGTATAATATTTACATTCACTAGATTAACGAATTATGTCAAAAACACGGATTCATTTAGATAGCATCCGCATGTGTGTTCGGACACCCGCATTACAGTACATCATTTGCCTTCTCATTAGAAACTTATTTCTTCATTAAAATGGGGAAAACAAAATATATGTATGTAGTACTTTAAATATTACCTACACAAGCAAGTGACGACGGAATATATCATATAAGTAGCTAAAAAGCTCACATATCGAACGCACGATCGAAGCTTCACGGTATAGGGCTGTTTCGACAGCGTTGAACTTGTGACGTCACATATGTGGGCTACCCATATCGAGGCGATCGCCGCTGAGCCAAAGGTGTGTTTTTCAGGTAATCACAATATCTCGGAAACGAAGTCAACTACGACGTTCGCACTTTCTTAGCTTAAACGAAGTATTTTCATAGCTTGATATAGCAAAACGTCCAGGGTACATTTCTTGGGTGCGGTTAGAAGGAGGAGCGGCAATTATTTGGGGAAATAGTGTCAACCACTAAAACATCTAATTTATACTTCCTAAATTCTCAGATTAAGTTAATCTACATGACGCCTTATCACAAGAAGAAGAAGAAGAAGAAGAAGAAGAAGAACATCTAATATTACTATACGGAGCGATAGGTCCAAACAATCAACTGTAGCAAATTCCCGGGTCCCTGTGCCTGAAACCACAGGTAGTAACCTTGTGGTGTTTACCTTCGAAAAAACGATAGCCGCAGGTAACAGGGGTGACCACACGTTTAAACAATAATAAATGTAAGGCCAGGTAAAAGCAAAGACCATAATATGATAGTTGGGATTAATTCGCTATCGTTAAGGATAGTAAAATCAGTGCTGTTTGTGCAATATACTTTTCAAAATGACTGTCAAGAGAAAGCAATAAAAAAAACTTTGGTTCAAGGCTGTTTTAAGGAGGGAATTACACAAGTAATTCAGATTTCAGATTATGTTTTCATCACTCAGACAAATGAAAATGTGTAACTTGAGGGGACAACACGGAATTAGATTATTTGAGTCCGTGGGTACAGCAATGAGGATGATTAAGCGTAACAGGGTGCATAGAATGTATACATGTATGTTGTGTTGTAAGATGTATAGATAAGATACATATAACTAACGTTCCGGCCTCAATATCATTCATATAAATACTGATTATAATTATCAAATAATACCACTAAAGAGAATATCATTAGAATTATACCTGTTTGAGATATAAGTAGAGAAGTACGATTTTAAGAGAAAAAAAACCCATAATTACATGAATTCGCTTGCAGCATTTCAGTTGGATTTGTAAGATAATACAGGAATAATACTCTATGCAAACACATCACATTCACTTGTTTTATACATATGATGATATTCATATCCAATATTTTCCAAACAAAAGTTTCATATTTCATCTCCTTTTGAACATTTGCGATAGCCTAGTTTAAATAAAAACAAACAATTACACGTACGTTATTTAGTTTGGTATGTTTATTATTTTTCGACAAATTGATTAAATATTTTTTAGAATTTGATACTAAAAAAAATGAACTACCCACTAGACGTATCCATATGTATTGTTGATGTCGAAGAACCATTGTTCAAGACTATAATATTTGGGGAAAATATAGAAAATAAAATAAAAGTTAAGTGAGAAACCACCAACATCAAATATACTTTTAATCTTATGAATTCCTAAAAAGAAATGTATTTTTACGTCATGTAGATTTAATAGTAAGATGTTAAATGTAATGTACTGTTGAGTTCCAAACGGATGCCATTAGAAGTTTAATTCCATTTCAAAATGAATTATCAATATTCACAAAAAAATCGGGGGACAAATCATCATTCCAAATTATTTTATTGGTGCTGACGGGGAAAATGTTGCCTATAAGTACATCTGCATCCGCCGCTGTGCAAATAACACGCAAGCGCTGTATAGGTAAATACAGGTCAGAGTTTGGGGCAGAGACCGACACGCTTCCGCGAGCAAGTACATCTAAATCTAAGTCCGTTATTTGTCTGCTATGAACTGCGTTTTAGGAGCGTGTTTAACCAAACGGTCTGTATGTGTTTGCGTTGAGTTTCCGTTGCGTTTCCGTTGCGTTTCCGTTGCATTTCCGTTGCGTTTGCGTTGCGTTTGCGTTCCGTTTGCGTTGAGTTTCCGTTGCGTTTCCGTTGCGTTTGCGTTTCGTTTCCGTTGCGTTTGCGTTCCGTTTGCGTTGCGTTTGCGTTTAAACGGACAAGAAAAACGGTTCAGGGTCTGTACCAAGCTTGTTCAAATAAATGACCTTCACCTATATTCAAGGGCACAGGGGTCAAATATGTGAAAAACTTTCAACAACTTCTTCTGAATAACCAAGAGGTCTATGGTAATGATATTTGGTCAGTAATATGCTGGGCTTGGCTACCAACTTGTTCAAACGAATTACATTGATTTATATTCAAGGTCACAGGGGTCAAATATGTTTAAAATCTTTAAACAACTTCTTCTGAAACACCAAGAGGTCTAGGGTAAGGATATTTGGACAGTATTATACTGGGATGAAGGGCTACCAAGTTTGTTCAAATGAATGACCTTTGCCCATTTTAAAGGTCATAGAGGTCAAATATAATAAATTATTTCATCATTTTCTTCTAAATAACCAGAAGGCCCAGGGTGATAATATTTGGCCTGGAAATCCTGGGATGAAGGGCTACCAAATTTGTTCAATTGAATGACCTTGACTTATATTCAAGGTCACAGGGGTCAAATATGTATAAAACCTTAAAACAACTTCTTTTAAATAACCAAGAGGTCTAGGGTAATGATATTTGGTCAGTAATATGCTGGGATGGGCTACCAAGTTTGTTCAAACGAATTACCTTGATTTATATTCAAGGTCACAGGGGTCAAATATGTTTAAAACCTTTACACAACTTCCTCTGAATAACCGAACGGCCTAAGATGATGATATTCTGTCAGTAGCATGCTTGGATGAATGGCTACCAAGTTTGTTGAAATGAATGACCTTTGTCCATATTCATGGTAACAGAGGTCAAATATAATAAATTCTTTCAACAAATTTTTCTGAAAAACCAGAAGGCCAAGGGTGATGATATTTGGTCAGGGACATGCTTGGATGAAAGGCTACCAAGTTCGTTCAAATAAATTGAATTTGATTTATATTTAAGGTCACCGGGGTTAAATATGTATAAAACGTTTAAACAACTTCTTTTGAATAACCAAGAGGTCTAGGGTAATGATATTTGGCTAGTGGCATGCAGGGATGAAAGACTACCAAGTTTGTGCAAATGAATGACCTTGACTTATAGTCAAGGTCACAGGGGACAAATATTTTTAAAACCTTTACACAACTTCTTCTGAATAACCCGAACGGTCTAGGATGATGATATTTAGTCAGTAGCATGCTGGAATAAAGGGCTACCAAGTTTGTTCAAATTAATGATCTTGACAGATATTCAAGGTCACAGGGGACAAATATGTTTAAAACCTTTTAACAACTTCTTCTTAATTACCAAACGGTTTAAGATGATGATATTTTGTCAGTAGCATGCTAGCATGAAGAGCTACCAGGTTTGTTCAAATGAATGACCATGACAGCTATTCAAGGTCAGAGGGGTCAAATAGGTGTAAAACATTTAAACAACTTCTTCTGAATAACCAAGAGGCCTAGTGGGATGATATTTGGCTAGTAGTATGCTGGGATGAAGGTCACAGGGTCAAATATGTGTAGAACCTTTAAACAACTTCTTCTGAATTACCAGAAGTCATAAGATGATGATATTTGGCTCGTAACATGCTAGGATGAAGCGCTACCAAGTTTGTTCAAATAAACGACCCTGATTTATATTCAAGGTTACAGGGGTCAAATATGTATGACATTTTTAAACAGCTTCTTTTGAATGACCAAGATGTCTAGGGTAATGATATTTGGCCAGTTACATGCTGGAATGAAAGCCTACGTAGTTTGTTCAAATGAATGATCGTTACCCATTTTCAAGGTCACAGTGGTCAAATATATTGAAATCATGTAAAGGCTCCTTTTGAATCAAACACTTATATTTTAATATGAAATACAAGTCTAAGCATTTTTGAATTGTTTATTGAATAAGTATTTTAATTGCGACTAAGGAAATAATTTTACCGATTGATTTTACTATAAACTAAATTCAAGGTGTATAGTGACAATTAAATATTGCTATTGTTTTAATTATTATATAAAAAATATATTTGAGTTTTTTCTTGTCACGCGTTAACGAAAACATACACACAAAAAAGAACACGTAAGATTTTTCATGTAACACGTTAAAATATAGGTTAAAAGTGCACTCATAGCAAATCTGTTTCCTTAATGAGAGTATTGTCGTGTGAGTTGTCCCTCTATAAATAAACCAAACCGGCCGCAATGAACAATGTTGAAAAGCTTCCTGTCCTTTATTTCCATATTTCTGAACCTGGTGTTTTTCTGTTGTTTTATTTGTCTCTTGTTGATTTGTTGTCGTGTTGACTGTGAAACCCATTTTTTTTTATTGTTTCCATGCTTACTTTATGATTTTATTATTTGTACATTATTTAATTAATAATACAGGTTCAGGGAAGACAACTCTTCTACATTCTCTGGCCGGAAAAGTCAATATTATATCCGGGGACATAGCTCTTAATGGATCACCATTTAACAAGCAACAGCGCCGTCGTCTTGGTTACGTGATGCAGGACGATGTTCTCCTTTCCAACCTGACGTTGTGGGAAACACTTTATGTACGTGTCATGATAATACCACTTACATAAATATAATCTAGTGATTAATTAAATGTATTGTTGCAAGTGTTTTGTTTATTTTTTAACTTGTTAATCTGCAGGTAGCACACTTTCTATTCAATTAGAACAAACAATATGTTGATGGTCTATACACTGCAAGAAATGTGGCTTCCTACATTATTATTGTACCTATGTTTTTAGACAAAATGCAAACACTTTTGTTATTTTAGGTGATTAAATAAAATAATGTATAAATTATTATATGTTCATCAAGAAAAAGTTGATTAGATAATTCGAAAGCCATTTTTTGATACCATTATCTGAGTGTGCCGTTTAGACAATAAAACATTTGTTCGATTCTGATTTTAGACAGTTAAACTTCCTCCCACAGCAAATTGTTATTCGAGTGAGTATTTGGTGTCTTTTTTGTGACTGTACTTCTATCTTAAATGATTGGTAATATGCTTACCAGAGCAGGCCTACCTTGTACTCGCCCAGAAGACTTTCGTGTAGGTGTTGTTGCCTTTCTATATTCTCATTGTCCTTGCTGACATAATCCGTTTGTGATTCGGCACCGGTTTGCCCCTTTGTGTTTAATTTATAATCATGTATTAATGTACTCTCTTGTTATTGCAATCTTTTTAGTTTACAGCCATGGTACGAGTGTCGGACAGAATTCCTAAGCAGGAGAAGTTGGATCAAATACAAAAGATTGTCACAGCTCTTAAACTTCAGCACTGTCTCAATACAGGTATACTGATACAAATACACACATGTATGTCCCACTGATAAAGCTCGCCGTGTTGTTATTATAGATTATCACACTGTATTCTAATGACAAATACTGTTGTCGCTTCCACAAGTTTACGATGAATCTATAATGCAAACAAATATATTGAATATTTTGAAAATTAAGGTTAGTATGACAAAGTAAACATCCTTTAACTAAATGCTACGTCTTTAATTCTTCCGGGTCAGTGTTATTATTCAGAATATGAGAACCAAGTCGACATTTTTAACTATGAAGCCTCTGTTTCTGTGCTTTAAGTAATTGGAGACATATTCCAGAGGGGGTTATCAGGAGGGGAGAGGAAAAGGACGCACATAGCGTGTGAGTTGTTGACAGATCCGGACATATTCCTCGTAGATGTGAGTGGCTTTAGATGACCGATTCGCTTAAAAGTTGTAATTTATGAATTTGTCAGCCATCCACTGCAATACAAACCAGCATTACTTTGATGAATAATGTTTTTCCATTATTTATTTTGTTTAACTTTGTCCCTGAATATAATTTGTAACATCAATCATAATGATTAACTTCCTTATTTAACGAAATGTCGTCATATTGGATATGCATTTTATTTAGAAAATGTTCAATGATAATGACGTCATTATGTAAATGATGTCACAATTGTCTGAAGAAAACTTTCTTTTTAATAGCTAAAAATTATTAAAAAGTTTATAGTATATATAATGACTGCAGATATAGAGATACATAACATGTATCGTTATGTTATCAGCCTTGATTATACTCGCTCCATGTTTAGAACAAATAAAAGAGTTCTCGTCTTAATAGGAGCCAACGTCCGGTTTAGACTCGAGTACTGCACACAGTCTGATGGTACAACTGAAGAACTACGCCACGGAGTACAACAAGACTATAGTGGTCACCATTCACCAGCCCTCCAGTAAAATCTTCCACATGTTCTCCTCGTTACTGCTGCTGGTGGAGGGCCAGGTTTGATACTTAAATATTAACTTAATTTTGTTTATCCTGGTTGAAAGAGGTAGGGAAACAGGTAGCTCTGTATGTGTTGACGACAATTACTTTCCAAATAATATAATAAAAACAAGACTTTCCGAAATTGCTACACACCTCCTTGAGTAATTGATTGTATTAGATAAGAAATATACTCATTTATAATACTTTATTATTTTTTATATATACTTATTGTTAAGGCTACGAAATCGATTTTTATTTACAGTCGGTGTACTGTGGTCCTGCTCCCTCAGCTATCCCCCACTTCACTTGCCTCGGATTCCCGTATAATTCGCGGTTTAATCCTGCAGACTACTTGTGTAAGTTTGTTAAAAGTCGAGGCGAAGCATCGCTATTAGATGGATTGTATCACTAGTGCTATCACTATTGTCTGAGACTACGAATCACTTCGGTGAAATATACGTTGTTTTTAATGACATGTACATGCACATTGTATCAATCAGTCATGCAAATAAATTTCTGCTTGAATTATTATTTTAATGACAAGGGATAAAAGAACCCTTATACCATGCTTGGAATTTTTTTAAACTTTCAGAATGCCTTTGTATCAAAAAATTACATAATTGGCTTTTCAGTAGGACTGTTAGATTCAGATGAACTTACCATCAATACAATAAAGACCCGAAGCAAGGAGCTCAGGTAAAACACATTGTTCTGTTTGTACAGTTTAACCTCAACTGCGTTGGTTAACCTGCTATTATCTGGATAATAGTATTCAAATTAATAAATATCTTAGGAAGAACTGCCAGAGACTCATTTCTATATTTTGCTTTGGTATTCCGTCTTTGCGTATTGCAGAGCTATCTTCTCTTGTGAGCAGGTATTGATTGTTACGTCATTGGTTTGTGTGAGAACACTACGCCGTTTTCACAAAAAATGATGTCGTAACTCTCACAAACCAATGCCGTAACAATCATTACATGCTCACAAGAGAAGATAACTCTGCAATACGCAAAGACGGAATAGCCCCAGAAACTCAGATTGGCCCTACTTTGATAAATTAAGTTTCTCCAACATAAGTTTTTATTTGGGTAACATTTTCACTTCATTCATTTAAGTACTGAAAATTTGTTTACATTAAACACATTTATGCTTTTAGTGCTAATCTAAATTTATTCGGTGCTACGGATTAATTTTATATTCTTTTTGAACAATGATTATTTGAAGGCTAGGTGCCGCACGGGTTATCCTCAGGGACATTCAAAGGTTTTCTTTATTTCAAAGCTTCGTTTGAAGTATTTTTATAAACACTTTGATATGTAAAACCTTATAAAATCGATCTGGTCGATTTGTTTAAGGTTTGATACACGTCAGAGTTTTTATTGATATTTCCAAATGTTGGAATCAAAACTGCAAGACCTGCAGTATACTTATTACTGGCAAGACGTACACCTCACAAATAAAAAACATTGTACAAGGAGCTTTGAACCATCGAATTGCAAAACTTCCAATATTGTGTATGGTATTGAGTGTGCTCTCTATGGCTTGATATATTTTGGAGAAACAAAAGGAGAACTACGACATCGAATGTATGATCATCGTTCAGCATTGAACCATGGACAAAATCAATGCTTTTATAAACTTTTTACTCTAATTTAACCCTTAATTAATCAAAGTCTTCATAAAATAGACGCTAAGCATGAAATTATTCCTTTAACGGTTTTCAATATCTTTTATTTGTTCTCGTTATTAGCAATGCCCAGACTGTGCCAATTGGCTATCCACAGCATCAATGCCAGGACAATAGTACAGTGTCTAGGAGTGACACGGACAAGACAACTGGGGCGTTCGGTAAGCTATCATATTTCAATATACAAGAAAGCATTTTCTGCATGGGCAATCTTTTAGTTTAAATAACCTTCTTATCATGAATTCAAAATAAATATTCCTTTAAAACAAACCCTTGTTGAACATGCTCTTAACGTGAATTGCGAGTACATACTATCATATTGGTATCACAGACTTAGCTCTGGAGGAGAGGGAGACAACTCGCTGGCCAACATCGTCCTGGAACCAGCTAAAGATGTTGAACTGGAGATCATATAAGCAAGCGAAAGGAAGAATATTCCAAAAATATGAAGTCATAAATGCTATCTTGTTGGCTGTCATATATGGAATGGTGTACTTCCAAATTGAAAACAGCGAAAAGACATTACGAGATAAGATGGGCCTGGTATGTAGAACCAAATACATTATTTGCTAACATGTGAAGTCCATTTCATTTCTGGAATGAATCTATGAATTCATCATTTTAATAAATTTGGTTGACAAAGATGTAATACACAGCATGATTTAATACTAGGTAAAATCCAAGATAGATTTTCTCAAGTACGTTTGCAAATATGACTAATAAAATTTACAGTTTGCATTGACATTAATACGATTAACACTGCAATAAACCGACAAGACACAAAACAAGCTCCCCATGGGCAAGTTCTAGGATACAAACACACACAATTATGTCACCCTGGTAAAAACTCTAGCCGCTTCCTACCGACTCAACTAGGGTGTCATTAAAACGTCTTTACATTGACGCACAACGTTGGGCCCCAGGAAATAACGACAAAAAAGGCAGAGCTGTTCTATCCTTGAGAGGGAGCATGTCACCCTGGGGACTAACCTTTTACCGTTCGACAAGACTTGGGACAATATATCTTTAGCGCAATCAATAGAGCACCAGGCTTGTACACCGGCGGTCCCGAGTTTGACCCTAAGCGGAAGCATAAAAAACAGTTACTGCTGTTACATGAATGAAAGAAACTTTATTCATTCGATCTTAGCACTAAACAAATATTATTACAGATGAATCAAATATCGTTAACGATGAGAACAAGAAATTCTTACGGGAAAACCATTTCTAGATTTGTCTAGTTTGTGACGTAGGACATGAATCAAAATACACCGGGGATCTATCGCTCATTTCAGCCTAGTATCAATATGTCTCCTTAGGCAGTCCACTAAAACCATCGTCCTATAGAATATGTCTCCTAAGGCAGTCCACTAAAACCATCGTCCTATAGAATATGTCTCCTGAAGCAGTCCACTAAAACCATCGTCCTATAGAATATGTCTCCTGAGGCAGGCCAATAAAACCATCGTCCTAAAGAATATGTCTCCTGTGGCAGTCCAATAAAATCATCGTCCTATAGAATTTGTCTCCTGAGGCAGGCCAAGAAAACCATCGTCCTAAAGAATATGTCTCCTGTGGCAGTCCAATAAAACCATCGGCCTATAGAATATATCTTCCTAACTTTTTTTTTTGAAGGGTTTGCATTTCCCTAATGAATTTGGAGTTTCAAATCGCTGCTTCAACGATTCCTATAGAATATGTATCCTGAGGCAGTCCAAAAAAAACATCCTCCCATATAATATTTCTCCTGAGGCAGTCCAAAAAAAACATCCTCCCATATAATATTTCTCCTGAGGCAGTCCACTAACCCCATCGTCCTATAGAATTTGTCTCCTGAGGCAGTCCAAAAAAAACATCCTCCCATATAATATTTCTCCTGAGGCAGTCCACTAAAAACATCGTCCTTTAGAACATGTCTCCTGAGGCAGTCCACTAACCCCATCGTCCTATAGAGTATGTCTCCTGAGGCAGTCCAAAAAAAACATCCTCCCATATAATATTTCTCCTGAGGCAGTCCACTAAACCCATCGTCCTATAGAGTATATCTCCTGAGGCAGTCCAAAAAAAACATCCTCCCATATAATATTTCTCCTGAGGCAGTCCAAAAAAAACATCCTCCCATATAATATTTCTCCTGAGGCAGTCCAAAAAAAACATCCTCCCATATAATATTTCTCCTGAGGCAGTCCACTAACCCCATCGTCCTATAGAATCTATCTCCTGAGGCAGTCCACTAAACCCATCGTCCTATAGAGTATGTCTCCTGAGGCAGGCCAAGAAAACCATCGTCCTATGGAATATGTCTCCTGATGCAGTCCACTAAAACAATCGTCCTATAGAATTTGTCTCCTGAGGCAGGCCAAGAAAACCATCGTCCTATAGAATACGTCTCCTGAGGCAGTCCAATAAATCCATCGTCCTATAGAATATGTATCCTGAGGCAGTCCAATAAAACCATCGCCCTATAGAATATGTCTCATGAGGCAGTCCAATAAAACCATCGCCCTATAGAATATGTCTCCTCAGGCAGTCCACTAAAATCATCGTCCTATAGAGTATATCTCCTGAGGCAGACCACTAAAACAATCGTCCTATAGAATATGTCTCCTAAGGCAGTCCAATAAATCCATCGTCCTATAGAATACGTCTCCTGAGGCAGTCCAAAAAAAACATCCTCCCATATAATATTTCTCCTGAGGCAGTCCACTAAAAACATCGTCCTATAGAATTTGTCTCCTGAGGCAGGCCAATAAAACCATCGTCCGATAGAATATGTCTCCTCAGGCAGTCCACTAAACCCATCGTCCTATAGAGTATGTCTCCTGAGGCAATCCAATAAAACCATCGGCCTATAGAATATATCTACTGAGGCAGTCCACTAACCCCATCGTCCTATAGAGTATATCTCCTGAGGCGGTCCACTAAAACCATGGTCCTATAGAATATGTCTCCCGAAGCAGTCCACTAAATCCATCGTCCTATAGAGTATGTCTCCTGAGGCAATCCAATAAAACCATCGGCCTATAGAATATGTCTCCTGAGGCAGTCCACTAAAATCATCGTCCTATAGAATATATCTTCCTAACTTTTTTTATTGAAAGGTTTGCATTTCCCTCATGAATTTGGAGTTTCAAATCGCTGCTTCAACGATACTGAGTCGTAAGTAATATTTTGTTATACTTATCATGGTAGCCGTAAGTGATATTTTGTTGACCTTATCATGCTAGCCGTCAGTAATATTTTGTTGACCTTCACATGTTAGTCGTAAGTAGCATTTTGTTGACCTTATCATGCTAGCCGTAAGTAGCATTTTGCTGACCGTATCATGCTAGCC